AGGGTGGAGTATTTCAAGACTCGGGAGCATGACTTCAAAGTGAGAGGAGAAAGATTTAAAAAAGGTATGAGGGGCCTTTTTTTTTACATAGAGAGTAGTTTGTACGTGAAATGAACCTCCAGGGGAAGTAGTGGATGCGGGTAGTTACAACATTTAAAGTGCATTTAGATAAGTACATGAATAAGAAATGTTTGGAGGGATACAGGCCAAGCGCAAGCATGGACTGGTTGAACCAAAGGGTCTCTTTCTGTGCTGTATGACTCTATGACTCTGAATGGCCTGAATCACCTCTTTTATGGTGGTAATCCATTGAAAAAAATGATCCATTTTCAGATCCTTTCTTCTATAATGCTATTTTAAATTGTCCTTTACATAGGGTTTTGAGTATTACTTTCACCAATTTTTAAATCACAGAATTTGAACCAATTTCAGTGCAAAATGACAAAGTTGCTAAACGCTTGGCAACAAATTATTCTTGTAGGTAAGTAAACAGGAAAGTGATAGCATAGTGAGAGTGTTGGCCTAGTGGTATTATTGCTGGCTTGTTAATCCTGAGACCAAGGCAATATTCTGGGGATCTGGGTTTGAATCCGATTACAGCAGATGGTGGAATGGGAATTCAATAAAAATCTGGAATTAAGACCGTAATGATGACTGTGAATCCATTGCCTGATTATCAGCAAATCTGCCCTTTAGGGAAGGAAACTGCCATCCTTACCTGGTCTGACCTACATGTGACTCCAGACCAACAGCAATGTGGTTGACTTTTAACTGACCTCTGGCTAATTATGGCAACAAACACTGACCAAACCAGAAATGCCCTCATCCCATGAATAAAAAAAACCCATTTTGATATTTGTCAACTTCTATTGCACCAAACTGAATGTAAGTAAAGCATGCAAGTGAAATGGCTTACAGGACGGAAATAAATTAACTCAGCAGGACTTATACACTTAAATGGTAGGTTCGTGGGGAGTGTTGCTGAACAAAGAGAAGTAGGGGTGCAGGTTCATAGTTCCTTGAAGTCACAAGTGGACAGGACAGTGAAGAAAGTGTTTGGTACACTAACCTTTATTGGTCAGTGCACTGAGTATAGGAGTTGGGAGGTCATGTTGCAGCTATACAGGACATTGGTTAGGCCACTTTTGGAATAATGCGTCCAGTTCTGGTCTCCATGCTTTTGGAGAGATGTTGTTAAACTTGAAATGGTGCAGAAAAGATTTATAAGGATGTTGCTGGAGTTGGAGGACTTGAGCTATAGGGAGAGGCTATTTTCCCTGGAGCATCGGAGGCTGAGGGTGTGACCATATCAAGGTTTATGAACTCATGAAGGGTGTGGATGGGGTGAATGGTCAAGGTCATTTCCCCAGGGTAGAGGAGTCCAAAATTACATGGCATAGGTTTAAAGTGGGAAGGGAAAGATTTAAAAGGGACCTGAGGGGTAACTTTTCATGCAGAGGATGGTACGTGTATGGAATGGGCCACCAGAGGAAGTGGTAATTCAATTATAACATTTGAAAGGCATCTAGGTTGGTACATGAACAGGAAGGGCTTAGAGGTATACGGGCCAAATGCTGACAAATGGGACTAGATTAAGTTAAGATATCTGTTCAGCATGGACGAGGTAGACTGAAGAGTCTGTTTCCATGCTTTATGACTCTATACCTAATGCAGAATTCAAATCATTTCTGCTCCCTGGTTCCCATTCCCTACTCCCGGCTATCATGGTATTAATTTTTCAGAAAGTTACGAAAATTTTTGTGGCATTGAGCCCAAAATGCTTACAAGACTCACTCAGTTTTCCTAAAGCAAGTTTTGATATTTGATTTGCATGTTTTTGCAAGTTTATTTTTGTTGGGTTAGCATTTCTTTTTAACTTGAAACAATAACATGAATGCAGAAAGAGGAAGTGCCACTTCAAATCAGATGCAATTAAATCAATAATGGGGCACTCAGAGCAAGTACAAAAATAAGTCATGCTACAGGGCAACAGTTGAGCTTTCATGTCAGGAGGTAAAATTGGATGTGTTATATTTGCCAACATTGTCAGATATTGATTTTAACAAAACATCAATAGAATCCATGCCAGAATGTGATAGTATCTGGAGTTCCCAAAAGTATTCAAATACCTTTTATCCTCAATGCCTGTTCAACATCAGTGTGGAGAAAGAATATCCCAGGAAACCTATATCCAAATCTAAGTTCAAACAATCCATCAGCAGTTAAGAGAACAAAGAGCCTACAGATGCTGTGTCAATTTTATGCAGAAAGGAACAGACAGTTTTAATGGGAAGCTGTGTGAAAATTTCTTACAAAAAATTAGCAAAAATTGATTTGCAAAAGATATCCCAAAAAGTGCTCAATCTATTTAAATGGATTATGGCACAGTATGCTTTAGGACCTAACAGCAAGGATTTGCATACACCCATCTAGGCCATTTCGGCAAAATATACCACTGTCTCTGGGACCTTCAAAAGTTGGGAAAATTTAATTTCGATAAAATTTTTTTTTTAGAACTTTCAATTCTTCTGCTGCTGCTTTACCATTGAACAAGGCTGGTTGTAATGAACAATTGGCACTACGATACTAGATACATTTTGATTTGATTTGATTTATTGTCACATGTACCGAGATAAAGTGAAAAGTTCTGTTTTGCATGCAGTACAGGCAGATCATTCCAGCAAAGTGCATTAAGGTAACGGAACAGAACGAGGAATACAATGTTACATTCGCAGAGAAGGTGCACAGAGAGCGAGATCTTTGACAGGTCCATTTTGATTTTAATTTGTCCATTTGACAGGCATTAAAATAGCTTGTATTGGACAATGGGCTGGGATGGGGTTGGGGGCTGCAGTTTTAGTCCCTCCACTCCAACCTAGCAGGCTGTGCTCAGCAGTCTATCCTGTATATCAACTGACATTGGCTGTAGTTGAATTCAAGCATGCTCACTTGGTGAGATATTAACCCTCCAGAGGTTGCTTGCTTGAAGGAGGTAATGTACATGTCTTCTCAAGTAATAGGGAAAATAGATTTTTTTGAAATTACATGTCTTTGAAACCTACAGTTTTTCTGCTGCAGTTACAATGTCCAATGGGAGAAGAAAAGGATTATAAATCATTTGACTGCATTTGCTCTGAAAAGCCGATCTCGTTCCTCTGTGCATTATTCATGTAGCCCTTGAAATACCGGAATACTTTAGAGTCATTTCTCCACACTGATGTTGAACAGGCATTGAGGATAAAAAGTATTTGAATACTTTTAGGAACTCAAGATACTATCACATTCTGGCATGGATTATATTGATGCGTTGTTAAAATCAAAATCCGACAATGTTGGCAAAATATAACACGTCCAATAACCTTAGAGAAAAGTAGGTCTTTCATCAAAAGCAATTTCTTTTTAAGTTCAATGCATTAACTTTTCTTTTATTTTCAGATAGTGCAGACCTACTGCATAATCCTGGCATTTGTGTTTGCATTCCAATTTCCTGTAATAGTAGTTTTCCAAAGTTTGTTTATTAACTATTTCCAATTTTGCTGTTTTGTGTGTGGTAGAAGTCAAATTGACCTTCTGTAGTTTAGCTAAATTAACCAGGTCATTATCAAATGTTTTTGAAATAATACTTAAATATGTGGAGCGAGAGCAAGTCTTCAAAACAAATCACAAAGGAACACCTACGCTCGGTTCACGACAGACAACTGCACCTCCCAGTCGCGAACCATTTCAACTCCCCCTCCCACTCCTTGGACGACATGTCCATCCTGGGCCTCCTCCAGTGCCACAACGATGTCACCCGAAGGTTGCAGGAACAGCACCTCATATTCCGCTTGGGAACCCTGCAGCCCAATGGTATCAATGTGGACTTCACAAGCTTCAAAATCTCCCCTCCCCCTACCGCATCCTAAAACCAGCCCAGCTCGTCCCTGCCTCCCTAACCTGTCCTTCCTCCCATCTAACCAACTCCTCCCACCTCAAGCCCCACCCCCATCTCCTACCTACTAGCCTCATCCCGCATCCTTGACCTGTCCGTCCTCCCTGGATTGACCTATCCCCTCCCTAACTCCCCATCTACACTCACCTTTACTGGCTCCATCCCCGCCTCTTTGACCTGTCTGTCTCCTCTCCACCTATCTTCTCCTTTATCCATCTTCTATCTGCCTCCCCCTTTCTCCCTATTTATTTCAGAAACCCCTTCCTCTCCCCCATTTCTGAAGAAGGGTCTAGACCCGAAACGTCAGCTTTCCTGCTCCTCTGATGCTGCTTGGCCTGCTGTGTTCATCCAGCTCTACACCTTGTTATCTCAGATTCTCCAGCATCGGCAGTTTCTGCTATCTCAGTAACAATTTTAACCACAATGTTATCAAATGTGATGATATCATGACACTATTAAATACATGTCTCAATACTGTTTTAATTTGTAATATCCTAAATTCCCACTGTTGTGGTTAGACTGGGTAAAACTAAACTTAGAACCACAGTAATGCCCCATTCACTTTAAGGAAAAGCATCGATGACAAGATTGGAGGTCAACCATCCAGTGCAATGGGGTCAGTATAAATAAACTACTTTTTTGCAAAAATTGATCATGGAATGTATACATTGCTGGCAAGGCCAGCATTTATTCTCAATCCCCAATTGCCCTGGAGAAGCTGGTGGTGAGCTGCCTTCGGAACTACTGCAGTCCTTTGGGATACCCACAGTGCTGTTTGGAAGGGTTTCATCATTCTGCAAGACTCTCAGACAATTTTAACACTTTGTAAACTTGTAATTTTGAAAGGAGGTCAGAGATGAGACACTTTAGCATCAGTTTTGCCATTGCCCATTCTACCTTACTGCACCAATGAGGTCAAAACTGCCATAATTTGGAACGGCTTCCACAACAATCAGCATATTGGGCACAAACTGAATCTAATTGATTGAACTAGGCATCTCTGATCAAGGTGTGAGAAATACATGCCAAGAACATTCAACAGAACAAGCAGGACAACAATAAAACCTACCTGCTTAATCAGCTCAGGTGCTATTAATGTATTGATGTTATCAACAGCTGTTGTAACTCCTGGAATAAACAAGCGAATTAATCATTGTTCAAATACATGCATTACAGGCATTAGTGGACCATCTGCTTGGATTGTTACAATACAGATTTCAAATCTGTCTTTTTACTCAACATGATCCATATGTAAACTGGGGTCATATTTGGATCAGGAAACAAAGATACATCTACTGATGCCTGCATCAAATATTAGTTAGCAAAAGACATGCTCCCCCAGTTAATTTCATCACAGATGCACCGGTTACCTGGCTACATAAAGCAGGTCCAAGGAACTGGTTAACATACTTAACGGCTCGCGAGACACCTGGCAAAAGTGAAAAAGGAGGTTCAGTTGAACAGGAAACATCGGAAAAGAAAACTGATCAATACAAGGGTGAGGTCAAGGTGACACGGGAAATAAGGGCCAGCATAATCTACTGAATCCTGAAATAACTCCACAGAGGCTGGTATCTCGTCACCAAGTCACCCTCTCTTTACACATGTACAGTACTTGACACGGATCCAGCTCCCTCAGAGCCAGCTCTCAGAGTGAGCCGAACCTCTGACGCTCCTGTTTATATCTGTCAGCCAGGGCTCCCTGAACGGACCAGGTTAACAGCACCAATCAGGGAACTCATATTCTACGAGGTCCACCTGGCTGACCTCATTCTAATCACTACAAATCCAACTTAAGACTCATTGTGATACGTCCCAAATGAAGAACTGCTTCCAATTTGATGTGATGACTGAATTCAGAAGACAGTCTGTTGGGTTGTAAAACAGATGAAAGCACAGCAAGTGCACACGTACTGTAACATGGAAGTGGTGAGAGTGACAATTCCTTTCCAGCAACTATCCCAGTCTAGGCAGATATTTACAACTGCAAAGATACCATGGAATTCTAAGTCATGACATGGCTTTGGTTGTGCAGACACTGAGTCTGTCTTATTTGTCTTACAAAAAGAACCAACACTATAAAATGAGTGTTATGGCCATTGCCCAGAGAGGTACTTACAAATAGATTACTATGTTAAAGCACTCTGGAAAAATAAGCTTTTAAGAAGTGCTAAAAGGGCATGGCAATGATTGTGGAGACACAATGCCAGACTCTCACCTTAGAAAGAAAGTAGAAATCACAAATCAAACATCGCAACAGCTAAGTGTTTGTTATTTGGTAAGATCAAGAAGACCAGCTTGTTTCTAAGCTTGAGAATATAAAACTAATAATATTAAAGTACCAACTCCTAAGTCCCTTCAATACAATGTGGAGCTGGAAGAACACAGCAGGTCAGGCAGCAGAGGAGCAGGAAAGTTGACGTTTTGGGTCAGGACCCTTCATCAGGACTGGGGAGGGGAAGGGAGCTCGGAAATAAATAGAGGGAGGAGGGTGGGGCTGGGGGAAGGTAGGTGGGATGGTGATAGGTGGATGCAGGTGGGGGAAGTGGAGATTGGTCACTATGAAGGGTGGGTGGATAGGTGGGAAAGAAGATGGACAGGTTGTGTCAGGTCAAGGAGGTGGGGATGAGAGTGAGGGTTGCACATGGGATGAGGCCGGGGGTGGGGAGATTTTGAAACTGTGAATTCTATATTGAGGCCATCGGGCTGCAGGCTCCCCAGGCAGAATATATGAGATGTTGTTCCTCCAGTTTGCGGCTGCGTCTTTGTGACACTGAACAAGGCCCAGGATGGACATGTCATCAAGGGAGTGGGAGGGGGACTTAAAATGGTTGGCAACTGGAAGGCGTTGTTGATTATAGCATACAGAACACAGATGCTTCGTGAATCGGTCACTGAGTCTGCGCATGGTCTCACCAATGTAGAGGAGACCGCATCTTGCAACCGGAAGGTGTTGTTGACTATAGCGTACAGAATGCAGATGCACTACAAATTGGCCAACGACAGAAGGTGACATGTCATGGAAAGCGGTGTGGAAAGTGTAAAAGTTCACAGCATTGCCATGGGCGTCACCCAAGATGATGTTTAATATCAAGGGGGTAAATTTTTAATTGTATTCTGGGCACATAATTGACATTGTACATTGACTTTATGATTTGCACTGGGCTGGTGTTGCACCTGGTCTGGATGACATTGAGCAGATCTGTGATGACAAGATAACAAGTGTATCATTTACAGCACTGACAACCTTCCTCCTTCACTGAGGAAATTCACTTCTATGGTAAGCCCAGGAAGACTTTCATACGTGATCTGCAAAGTTCAAAGTCTTTCCACTTTCATTTCCTGATATGCTGTAGGAAAAATTAAGTGCTACATAAAAGCAAAGAGAACATACAAGAAACTTGTACAAGCTTGGTTTCCATGTACATTATAACCAAAGCAGCATCTTCTGACCCTCATGCGAATTTGGCATTCTGAGTCCTCAGCATAAACTGAATAGGTAAAGAAAACACAAAGTGTGTTAGCACTTTTGTCCAGTTAAGTGATGAAACAGGATATCTGATGATATGGAATATTGGACTACCTGGAGTATTGTGTGTAGTTTTTGGTCTCCCTACCCAAGAGGGGATATACTTGCCATTGAGAGAGTGCAGTGAAGGTTCACTAGGCTGACACTGGGGATGGAAGGACAGTTGTATAAAGAGATTGGTGTTATCTGGTCCTGGGCCTGTATTCATCAGACAGTTTAGAAGGATGACAGGGATAAAGATTTACCAGGATGTTGCTGGGACTGGAGGGTTTGAGTTATAAGGACAGCCTGGATAGACTCGAACATTTTTTCCGTTGGAGCGTCGGAGGTTGAGGGGTGACCTTACAGAAATTTATAAAATCATGAGGGGTATAGATAAGGTGAATGCCAAAGGTCTTTTCCCTGGTACAGTGGAGTTCAAAACTAGAGGGCATAACCTTAAGGAGAGGGGAAAGAGTTAAGAGGGATCTGATGGGCAACTTCTTCACACAGAGGAATGAACTGCTAGAGGAAGTAATAGATACAGGTACCATTAAGGCATTTCAAAAAACATTTGGACAGGTACATGAATAGGGAAAGTTTAGAGGGATATGTGCCAAACACATGCAAATGGGACTAGTTTAGTTTGGGAAACCTGGTCGGCATGGACGAGTTGGAACGAAGGGTCTGTTTCCATGTGACGCTAAATGTATAAAATTCTAACAGGGCTGCATCGAACAGATGGAGAAAGGGTGTCTCCCCTGGTTGGGAACCAGGTATCACAGTATCAAGAAATGGTGTGGGCCATTTAGGGCTGATATGAGGAAACATTTCTTCACACCGTGGGTGGTCAACCTGTGGAATTCGCTAACACAGAAGGCTGTGGAGGCTGGGTCACTGACTACATTCAAGAAAGACATTGAAATTTATTTTTGAACATTAAAGGCATCAAGGGATATGGGTAGAAAGTAGGAATATGGTATTGGGATACAGAATCAGCCATGATCACCTTGAATAGTCCAGAAGGGTTGAGAGGCTGAATGACCTACTCCTGCTCCTATTATCCATACTTATATGTAAAATGCATCAGATGGAACCGTCAGTGCTATTATTTCACAGATTTTCATTTGTCCCAAAAGTACGAAGACCCTTCAAAAGCCAGATCACAGATAGAAATTCTGTTTTAGGTAAGATTAAAGGGAGATGATGGTATGGTGGTGATGTCACTGGCCTAGTAATCCAGAGATCCACCTCCAACCCATAGCAGTGGGTGTAATTTAAATTAAAGTAACAAAATTGAACAACTGGGTTGGTGTAAGTAATGGTAACCACGCAATTATCATCGATTGTTGTTAAAAAAAAACTCATCTCGTTCACTAATGTTCTCTAGCAAAGGAAATCGGTTGCCTTTATCTGGTCTGGCTTCCAGACCCAGACCAATGTGGTTGACTCTTAACTGCCGTCAGAAATACCCAGCATGCCACTCAGTTCGAGCATAGTTAGGGATAGGCAACAGACGCTGGCCTTGCTTGGGACAATCACATCCCAGGAATGGTGGACGGCACAGTGGCTCAGTGGTTAGCGCTGAGGCCTCACAGTGCCAGGGACCTGGGTAGCTGTCTGTGTGGAGTTTGCACATTCTCCCCGTGTCTGCTTGGATGCTCTGGTTTCCTCTCACAGTCCAAAGATGCGCAGGTTAGGTGGATTGGCCGTTATAAATTGCCCATAGTGTCCGGGGATGTGCAGGCTGGGTGGATTAGTCATGGGAAATGCAGGGTTATCGGGATTGGGTAGGGGAGGGGGTAGGTCTGTGTGGGCAGCCCTTCGGAGGGTCAGTGTGGACTCGATGGACTGAATGGCCTGCTTCTACACTGTAGGGATTTTATGAATTAAGAAAAAAATTAAAGCATAAAATCTGATGAGAATCGCTGATTAAAGCATTTGTATTTGCCAACCTTAATCAGTCAACTAGGGCATGATCCAAAAGTGTTGCCTGTGAAGAAAGATCCCGGCCTAAATTGCTTATGTAAGCCAACCATTGTGCATTTCAAATACATGTGAAATTATTTACACTTGAACGGATATTCTATGCTGTGTTGAAATGTGAAGATCGATTCAATCTTTTAGGTCAATAACTTCGGGAATGAGCCAGGCTTAGTTGTTAGTTTGTGATAAGTTAGCAATCACCAGGAACTGCACAAGAGTTCCACAATCAGCATCTCTAACAGAAGGCTCTCTTTCCACCTCCCCACCTCTACCTTCCTCTAGCCTTGCAAACCTGCAAGAATTCTACATTTGTCCAGTTCTGGCTTTGTGTGGTTCACCTCTTCCATCAGCTTTTCTTTATCCCAGTCTTTGGAATTCCCTCTCTGAAACTCTCTCTGTCTGTCTCTCTCTCTCTTTCTCTCATTTAGAACACTCTTTACCCATTTGTCTAAGCTTTTAACAACCTGTCGCAAAATTTCTGCTGTTGGTTTAGAGTAAATCCTTGTCTGATTACACAGAGAAGCACCTTGTTTTACTACATTAAAAGGCGTCACATAAAGACAAAATTCTGTTGTTGGAGCTCAGAGTATTTAAGCAATGCATAACTACAGCTTTGCATCTTCAACATACTAGCAGTCTAATTAAACATTTGGCAGGTTGTTGATGCAACATTAACATTCCATCGACAGCAAAGACAGCTATGCCAGTGGAATACTAAGATGCAAACACCACAAGCACACAACCAGGCAATAATAAATTTGTTGCCGTTAGCACCCAACAGGAATGCCAGCTGACGTTTGCTTTTTAAACATTAAGATTTGGGTAGTGCAAACATCACAAGTGCACGCTGCAAAGCATCCCGATATTACCCTAGATACACAAACTGCTTTGGAACAGCATTTACCTCAAGACTGCACATAGTACACAAGGGATAAGTTTCTGCTGATCCTCTGCAGTAAAACCGCAAGCAGAAGCTGCCAACTATAAATGGTACTGTCAAAGAACAGAAAGTCAATTAAATTACTCACCATTACTAATAGCATCAAAACCTGAGTAGGGTATGTCCTTATCATAAGTTATTAGCTCCCTGATGAATTGATGCTTTTGTCAAGGCTTTAATATTGAACAGAACTTACAGCAGTAGTCCCATCTCCTACTGGCACTAAAATGTTGAAACTAGTCCATTTATCCCATACCTGGACTTAAGAGTCATAGAGTCATAGACATATACCGCACGGAAACAGACCCTTTGGTCTAACTCTTCCATGCCGATTAGATATCCTAAATAAATCTAGTCCCATTTGCCAGCGTTTGGTCCATATCCCTTCCAGATGTATCTTAAATGCTGTAACTGTACCAGCCTCCACCACGGCCTTTGGCAGCTCATTTCATACATGCACCACCCTCTGTGCGAAAAAGTTGCCCCCTAGGTCCCTTTTAAATCTTTCCCCTCTCACCTTAATCCTATGCCCTCTAGTTTTGGACTCCCCCACCCCAGGGAAAAGACCTTGTCTGTTTACCCTATCCATGCCCCTCATGATTTTATACTTAAAAGATTTAAACATCATACTAACCTAACCCGTGCATTTGGTTAGATTGTAGCACACTGTACGTTAAAACGTGAAAACCTATTGAGGGGTAGCCAGCAATGTGCACCTGCAGTCACAGAGAAATTTACATTTTGGGTGTAGCTTAGTCCATCTTACAATGATCTCCACGTGATCACCAAGTTTATATTACAACTGAGAAACAGGGCGAGCAGATTAACTTACCTTTTCCCAAAAATCGCGTCTTGTCACCATCTCGAAGTTCCAGTGCTTCATAAATGCCGGTGGATGCACCACTGGGGACTGATGCTCTGAACAGACCTGTAGGCAGGATTTTAAAAAAAAAAGAGCATTTAACAAAGTCATAACTGGAAATAAAATGTAAGAACAAAGTTCAAGTTCTCTGGTGCAACCTTTAGGTTCATTAATTGGGCAACAGCAACTTTAGGGTGCACGGTGGCTCAGTGGTTAGCACTACTGCTTCACACCACCAGGGGTTCGATTCCAGCCTCGGGCGACTGTCTGTGTAGAGTTTGCACGTTCTACTCGTGTCTGCGTGGGTTTCCTCCGGGTGCTCCAGTTTCCTCCCACAGTCCAAAGATGTGCAGGTTCGGTGGATTGGCCATGGGAAATTACCCCATAGTGACCAGGGATGTGTAGGCTAGTTCAGTTAGCCATGGAAAATGCAGGGATAGGGTACAGGAGTGGATGTGGGTGGGATGCTCTTCTGAGGGTCGGTGTGGACTTGATGTGCCAAATGTCCTGCTACCACATTGTAAGGATTCTATGTCTATAGTCGGAAACAAAAACACAAAATTCTGAAGAAACTCAGCAGATCTGGCAACATCCATGGACAGAAAGCCCAGTTAACATTTCAAGTCCAGCGACCCTTCTTCGGAACTGAGGGTAGCTAGGAAAATGTGGTATACAAACAGGTGGGGGAGGTGTGAGTATACAATAGGAAGAGATGAAGCCCAGAGAGAGAGGACATCAGTTTGCAACACAAAGGGATGGATACTGTTGAGCCAGCGAGAAAGGAAAGTCGGTAATAGGGACCTTTAGGTGAAAGTGGGCTGGCTGTGATGATCGAGTTCAATATTTTCAGGGCCTGCGCACCCTCTTCTATAACATTTATTCATCCCACAGCCCAGGCCCTGTCATGGTATGGGCTGCTTTCATCATGGCCAACTCATTCTCACACACTCATGGTCCCCATTAAAAGATTTTCTTTTTCTCTGGTTCACCATTATCAATCCCTTTGTCTGTCTAACTGCAGTTCTCTCTCTCTGGGCTCAATCACCACCAATTGTGGCTTCCTTTCCCTCCAACCCTGTCTTCATAATATACGCCACCTCTTCCTAGTTCCCGTCAGTTCTGAAGAACAGACACTCAAAATGCTAACTCCGCTTTCTCTCCACAGAGTTTCTCCAGCTATATCTCTTTTTGTTTCAGATTTCCAACATCTGCAGTTCTTTGTTCTATTTGTTGTTTTGCTTTTAGTGTATTTTTGTTATTTTTGTCTTTTTTTAAAAAGTAGTTAACTTTAGTCTTCAAGGGAAGTAATGGCACTTAAGAGTAATTCATTGCACATGAAGTCCTTTGAAATATTGGAGATCAAGGTGCTAAATTAATGCAAGTGTTTCATTGCCAAATTTATTCAAATAGGCAACAGCCTTTAAAAAGATACCAAAGCTATTTAGAGACTAGACCCCAGAATATTTCATAATGAAGCCAAAAGATAGGAGCCTTATTATAAAACTAAAGAAATAGTTAAATTAAATTGAAACATTGATGTCAGCTTGTTTATGAAAAAAAAAGTTTTGAAATTTCCCAAAAAGTATAATGCAGCAATCTTAAGGGGGACACTGAGGTTTGAAGGAAATTACAAATATTTTAAACATTCTTTACAAATGCATTGATCCAATTTACTCCATCATCAATCAATCCCAGATCTGGGCAGATGCAACTTCAACTGTTCATTCACCTTGAACTAGGATAGCACAGAAGGTGGGAAATGGGAAAATACTAATCACGCTTAGGAATGTTACAAAGCCTTCGTACAATTCATTTCATCAGTTTTTGGTTAAAAGGTTCTTTGTCTTCAAAATATGGTTATACAAAGATCGGTCCATTTTGGAACTATCCCCCTTTAAAGGAGGTGTTTCTGTTGTCTTTAAAATTAAAAAAAAATATGCTGGTTTCATGCTTTTCTCAAAAGAGGTTCCTTTTTAAACTCAAAATTCCAACAACATATGTGATTGCAATTTTAAACATTCTAATTTTACAAGGAAAACTGTGTCAACAAGTATCAAGATTTGGAAATGCACAAGCAGCAAGACTCAAATCCTAAAGCAGGAAGATTTTAATTAGCAACAGAGTGCTTAGGTTTCACAGGTCATTTTCACAACTGAAACCTTCATTCTGTCAAGATCAAGTGACTGTTGCTCAGATTCACAGACACCACCCCCTGCTCCGTCCCGCCCGTGGATGGTAAACCAGTTCTGGAACGTAAACTGAAGCCTCTTTGCTGAGTTTGACACTTTAGTTCACCTCATGGTTTCTTGGGCGTTCTGCAAAATCATATCAAAAACAGAAATTGCTGGAGACGCTCAGCAGGTTTAGCTGCATCTGTGGGAAGAAGCAGAGTTAATGTTGCGAGTCCAGTGACCTTTCCACAGAACTTCATCAGATTCGTAGAGTCACAGAGCTGTACAGCACAGAAACAGACACTTCGGTCCAACTCATCCATGCCAAGTGGGTATTCTAAATTAATCTGGTCCAATTTGCCAGCATTTGACCCATATCCCATTATCCTCTGACACTTCCGCCATCTGCAATCTGACTCCACTACCAAAGACATTTTTCCCTCCCCACTCTTATCTGCTTTCCGGAGGGACCACTCTCTCCATGACTCCCTTGTCCGCTCCACACTCCCCTCCAGCCCCACCACACCCGGCACTTTTCCCTGCAACCGCAGGAAGTGTTATACCTGCCCCCACACCTCCTCCCTCACCCCCATCCCAGGCCCTAAGAAGACCTTCCACATCAAACAGATGGTCACCTGCACATCTGCTAATGCGGTATACTGCATCCGCTGTTCCCATTGTGGCCTCCTCTACATCAGGGAAACCAAGCGGAGGCTTGGGGACCGCTTTGCAGAACACCTGCGCTCGGTTCGCAACAAACAACTACACCTCCCAGTCGCGAACCATTTCAACTCCTCCTCCCACTCCTTGGACGACAAGTCCATCCTGGGCCTCCTGCATTGCCACAATGATGCCACCCGAAAGCTGCAGGAACAGCATCTCATATTTCGCTTGGGAACCCTGCAGCCCAAGGGTATCAATGTGGACTTCACAAGCTTCAAAATCTCCCCTCCTCCGATCGCATCCTAAAACAAGCCCAGCTCATCCCCGCCTCCCTAACCTGTTCTTCCTCCCACCTATCCCCTCCTCCCACCTCAAGCCCCACCCCCATCTCCTACCTACTAACCTCATCCCGCCCCCTTGACCTGTCCGTCCTCCCTGGACTGACCTATCCCCTCCCTACCTCCCCACCTACACTCACCTTTACTGGCTCCATCCTCGCCTCTTTGACCTGTCTGTCTCCTCTCCACCTATCTTCTCCTTTATCCATCTTCTATCCGCCTCCCCCTCTCTCCCTATTTATTTCAGAATCCCCTTCCCCTCCCCGACTTCTGAAGAAGGGTCTCGACTCGTAACGTCAGCCTTCCTGCTCCTCTGATGCTGCTTGGCCTGCTGTGTTCATCCAGCTCGACACCTTGTTATCTCCCTTTAAACTCTTCCTATTCATATACCCATCCAGATGCCTTTTAAATGTTGTAATTGTACCAGCCTCCGCCACTTCCTCCTTCACTCCAAATATGCACCACCCTCTATATGAAAAATTTGTCCCCCAGGTTCTTTTTAAATCTTTTCCCTCTACCTTAACTAGAGGGCATAGGTTAGACAGAGAGAGAGACAGAGACAGTGAGAGAGTGAGAGACAGAGACTGAGAGAGAGAGAGAGAGACAGAGAGAGAGACAGAGCCTGAGAGAGAGAGAGAGACAGAGAGTGAGAGAGTGAGGCAGAGAGAGAGAGAGAGAGAGACAGAGAGAGAGACAGAGAGAGAGAGTGTGAGAGAGAGCGAGTGTGAGAGTGAATGTTAGAGACACAAGAAGTTACAGTCACCTACAGACTAGGGGATCATTTGCCCAAACAGGTCATTTATGAGGATCTTGAGAAAAACAATCAATCCGTGCACAATGACACTGCTAATGGATCTTCAGTAAGACTCAAAAACTCTTAATGGCAACTTCCTGCCTGCATTTATGCAACCAATTCTTCAATCATTGCAGCAACATCCCACTGATTGCACAAGAAACTCTCATGCAGAGTAATCTATTTTGAAGGGCTTTTTCCACAGGCTGATTGTTCAATTCTGGTCTCCCTGCCATAGGAAGGATGTTGTGAAACTGGAAAGGGTTCAGAAAAGATTTACAAGGATGTTGCCAAGGTTGGAGGGTTTGAGCTGTAGGAAGAGGCTGAATAGGCTGAGGCTATTTTCCCTGGAGTGCAGAGGCTGTGGGATGACCTTGTAGAGATTTATAAAATCATGACGGGGACTGATAGGGTGAATAAGCTGAAGTCTTTTCCGCAGGGTAGGGGAGTCCAAAAACCTATGCCCTCTAGTTAAGGTAGAGGGAAAAGATTTAAAAAGAACCTGAGGGACAAATTTTTCATACAGAGGATGGTGCATATTTGGAGTGAACTGCCAGAGGAAGTGGTGGAGGCAGGTACAATTACAACATATAAGAAGTGTCTGGCTGGGTATATGCATCGGAAGGGTTTAGAGGGATATGGGCAAAATGCTGGGAAATGGGACTAGATTTATATAGGATATCTGGTCAGCATGGACAAGTTGGACCGAAGGGTCCGTTTCCTTGATGTACATCTCTATGACTCAATATAATCAACAAAGATACTTGTGGACTAACCTAGAAGATCATTCAGAAATTCTAGCAAATGATTAAGACATGGCCTTTCCCCACCCTCCAAAAAGCTATGTTATTTGGCTCTGCTGACCCTTTCTTCATTTAAGCAATCATAAAGAATATCTTACGACCCAGTCAAGCATCTCACCCATAACTAATGTCTGCCTAAAGGGACTATAATTCCCTGGATTCAATTGTTCATTGCTTTTGAAACTAAAAATACTTGAATATCCTCCCAATCAAACAGAATGATCCCAGACTCTGGATAAACACTTCTACAATTTGCCATGTACATGAATTACCATCCTCCTAAGATCTTTCAAAGTGT